AAATATAAAATGTATGCCCTGGTAAAGGCCTTTTTGCTGAGATATGATCTTCTAATATGTTTAAAAAGAAAGGTCTTTAACTAGTGTGTCTTGCCTGTCCTCACGTGTGGAGCTGAAACACTTACTTTGACAAAAAAAAAGAACATGCATAGAATACAGGTCACGCAACGGAAAATGGAAAGTCCATGTTGGGAGTTACACTTAGAGATAAAATACCCAATCTTACCATACGAAATCAAACAGGAGTAAGAGATGCGGTGATATCTGTCTTACATCTTAAATGGAATTGGGCAGGACATGTGGGACGGACGGTGGAGATGGACATAAGAGATAGACGGTGGATAAAGAGACTTGAGGAATGGAGACCAAGACACCAGGCCTATAGAAGCAGGGGATGACCTCATAATCGATGGACAGATGATATTAAGAGAGTGGCTGGAAACTGGATTCAAGTGGCACAAAATAAAAAGAAATGGCTAGAGTTAAGGGAGGTTTTTGTTCAGCAGTGGACGGAATAAGCTAAATGATGATGATAAATAATGAAAGGCCTTTCGCACTACTTATATACTGGATTTTGTCGAAGCCTTGAGACTGTATGTCGAGTTATAACTCAAGAAAGAGGGACACAATAAATCTATAAGGTCGCGGTGATTAACTCCTCCTGCTTCCATTAAATCTACAAACTAACCACCGCGTAAAACGAGGGACTGCTGTGTTCGATCATTAAAACACAGTTTTAAGTATGCGAAAGCCCTCCTGGGACTCTTTCAAGTCGAATTAGTCGCTTTGGTAATTTTCTCTTCGCCAGGCGTCCGAAAACGCCTATCCCGAAAACGTTGTTAATAACTATGCAAAATGCGCGCCACTCGCTAACTAGTTTTACCGTTCACCGACATAACCCGATTGCAGAATTAAGATGCAATCCGTTCCCGACCGTTTCCGACAGGACGTACTCAACCAAAACCTCCTGAAATATTAGACAGACCTTGACACCTTACGACACAGTTGAGGAGATGCGTCAAGTAAAGGTGGAAATTCTAGTTCCTTGGGAGGAATGTAAAACTTGGAAAATAAGTTCGTTATAATAATGGTTTTATGATTCACTATTCTAATAAAAAAATATGCATTCCTGCGGAAACTCTCAATTTATTTATCTAGTAATGCTAAAACACTCTACTTGAAAGTCGATTAGAGAAAATAGTATGAGTCATTGGCAAGCGATATAAATATTTAAGATCAGGTAAAATTGTGATGTAAGAGGACAGGCTTAGCTTGCCGGCGTCGGCGGGTCAGTAGTAGACGAGCCGGCCGGTTGTAGTGTAGTGTTGTGTTGTGTTTTGTCACAGAGCTGGCATTTGGAGGTTGCGAGTCTTTTTGACTATTATTTTGTCACAGAGCTGACATTTGGAGGTTGCGAGTCTTTATAACTATTAATGTTGCGAGTCTTTATGACTATTAAGGATGCGAGTCTTTATGACCATTAAGGATGCGAGTCTTTATGACTATTAAGGTTGCGAGTCTTTATGACTATTAAGGATGCGAGTCTTTATGACCATTAAGGATGCGAGTCTTTATGACTATTAAGGTTGCGAGTCTTTTTGACTATTAGGGTTGCGAATCTGTTTAGCGGCAGATTTGCGTCCGGGGGAAGCCCCTATAGTTATTTCAGGTGACACCAGCTAGTTGTTGAAGATTAACCAATAGATCCGAATAATACTTGAATTAAATGGAAGATATAGAATGGGATATATTGAATAGAATATCAGTAGCTAGGGGGCGGAGTACCCCCGGGTGAGTTTTACTATTTAACTATCAATTTTATCCAGATCAGTAAATGTTTGCTTTGTTATTTTCATGTACAATGAGAGTCTGCTCACCAATGACCAACAAAATGGATATTTGAGGTGAATTTGCATTGTGATACCCGGTTGAGTAAGCCCCAGAAATAAGCGATTTTACAGGAACTAATTCTTTAGTCCCCGTTCCTCCAAAGGAATAGTTCCTTGAACTAGGTCTTTCGTTAACAATAGTTTCCGACTAACATTGACATCCCCGTTGATTGCTAATGGGTTTCGTTGTCAGTCAGAACTACTCACAGTATGCTCTGTATAATTTTTATATTGTACGAAATATAAAGAGACGTAATTGTGTATATGTTAAAAACATATAGGTAAGTTTTATTGCAGATAAAAAAAATAAACTCAAATCAGAGCTTAAAAAACTATATAACAAATCAATTGGAGCGAATAATACGAAAAATGGCATTTTTTCTCACTTCAAGTTTTTTGTTTTTGTCTAAAATTTCAGAATATCTACTCCGTTTTATAAGATATTTCTTAATTTTAGGGACCTAAAGTGAAACTTTCCCATAAAATATTCAAAGAACAAACTAAAAATGAAGCATCCACGACAATCTTCTGTGGTAATTATGCCGGCTGTGGCAATAGACAAGGCCGAATCTATCATCGTCGCCTTGTATTATATCTCGGATCTGCCGACTGAATAGATTCCCGTAAACTAGTTTTTTTAATTAGTTCCTCTAGTTCCTCGCTGTCGCATATTATTATATATCGGTCACAATCTCAATCCCGGAGTAGGTACTGAGGAACTAGTTCTTTGAGAAACCGGGAACTAGTTCCTTTCATTTCGGGGTCGGAATAGTTCATCGGAACTAGTTCGTTTACGAACTACACACCTCTAGCGTGCAGCTGATCTGGCAGACTTGGGAGAAATGTTTTTTATTTATATTTACAGCTGGATATATATATTACGTAGTATGAAGACATTTAAAATGCTTTTAAAGCCTTAGTTTTCAAGGAGGTGTTGACTCACTCCTTCGTAAGTAAGTCTTGTTGCCAAACTGAATTATAACGAATATTTTATCATAAACTACGTTAAATGCCTCATCGAATGCTGTTGGAGTATACATCTACAGGATGTAAGACCATTTTTTTTTAATTTTAAAAACTTCTTTTTTTTGAAATATACACTGTGTCAATTTTAAAATATCCCACCCTTAATATCTTTCTTGCAGTTAAAATTATGAAAAATCGGAAAGACACGTCAATTTTAGTTGTAACGGGGACACTTTAAATTAATATTTTTAGCCTTTTTCGTTCAACCCCTTAGGAGGGGTAGATGTCACCCTTACAATCTTAAATAGAAATGGGGGTCAAGTGGCACATCGTTTTAAAGGGCTTTTAATTCTCTTTTCAGTGGTATCCCGCTTTGTTGCTTTTTGTCCAGAAGTTTCCTAATAATCGCGTTCCAAAGTTGCAGAAACAATTAAATATGCCTGCATTGAAATTTTGTTTAACCGTTACATTTTTTCTGGGGGGGTCGAAATACTAATAAACAGAAAACATCATAACCATTAACCGCATTAAGGTTTCTTTTCTCAAATTATTTATTATTTTTCTCAAACCCTCATATTTTTCGAGAAGGACATACACAATATCCCCAAAAAGTTAATGTTTGTGCTGGTGTTTTTGGAAATGCTTGAATAAATTGGTCCTTTATTTATTGAAGGAAACTTGACAGGTGATCTGCATCTTAATATGTTTCAAGAGACTAGTGATCCTTTTATCACCCAAGAGCTAGAAACTCAAATTGGTGCAGAGGGTAATCCAGTTTTACAGGAGAATTTGTTAACATTCCAGAAGGACGGTGCTCCACCTCATTTTCTTCCGTGCCGACAGTGGTTAAACGAGATATTTTCGGGTACATGAACTGGCCGAAGTGGACCACTTGAATGGCGTCCAAAGATCACCGGATTTAACACCCTTAGACTTCTTTCTTTTGGAACATCTTAAATCCAATGTTTACAAAAACACAACCTACTGATATTGATGATCTTAAGAGGCGAATTACAGCAGAATGCCAGTCAATTCCCGGTGAAGTTTACCGAAATGTTAGGGGGGAGTTTGAAAACAGACTCTATTATTGTTTACAGGAAAATGGACAACATTTTGAACAACTTATAAGATAGGGCGTCAGTGGTGTAACCTAATATTCTAATCATTTATACTACAAGGAGAACCGTTCTGCTTTCCAAGTGGTAACCAACTCAAGGCGGAACTCAAGAACTTGGAAGATTCCATCCGCAACCTGGAATGGAAATCTTGCAATGGTCTAAGAAGTCTAAGACACTCGAAGAAGTTTCTGAGGGCTTATGATCAAGAAAAATCACAGATCTTCCTGGGTCTGAGTAAGAACAATCTTCGGATTGTCACGGGGTTTTTAACAGGACACTGTCTCCTCAATGAACACCTCAGTAGATTGAAACTAAGAAGAAACGGCGAATGCAGATTCTGTGGGGAAGATGGTGAAACACCAGTACACCTCATCACTGAGTGCGCCGAGATGACAACCATTCGTGCCATGAATTTTGGTACGACTGATATTGGAGATGGAGAACTACCCTCTATAAAGCCGTCCCAGATACTGGCTTTTGTCAAAGCCCTAGGACTGTATGATGAGTTATGATTCAAGAAAGGGGGACACAATGGATCTGTAAGGTCGAAGTGATTAACCCCCCTCCCACTCATTCTAAATCTAAATTCTACTACAAGGAGATCCATTGCAATCATTTTTGTGTAAATACTAGCCTGAAAACCAAAATCTCAATGCAGAAATATTTAATTGTTTCTGCAACTTTGAAACACGAATATTCGGAAACCTCTGGAAAAAAAGCAACAAAGTAGGATACCACTAAAAAGAGAATCAAACGCCCTTTAAAACGATGTGCCACTTGACCCCCAATCCCACTTAAGATTGTAAGGGTGACATCTACCCCTCCTAGGGGGTTGAAAGAAAAAGGCTAAAAATATTCATTTAAAGTGTCCCCCTCACAAAAAATATTGATGTGTCTTTCCGATTTTTCATAATTTTATCTGCAAGAAAGATATTAAGGGTGGGAAGTTTTAAAATTGACACAGTAATAAATAAAAATTGTGTGTTCTAAAATAATAAAATATAGTTACTAAAATGTTTTTACTTACAAAAGTGGTGAACATGTAGTGGTATCTGTGGTCATTCATTTGAAGTTGCAATATCTGAAAAAAAAACAAAAATAAATTAAATTTTATTCGAGACAGATTTTTGAAACGAAGAGCACTTCTTTTACGTAGAAAAATTCTAGCTTTTTATATCATTTGTTTAAATTACTGTATCTATGAGGATAAAAGAAGTACTACCATAAGTACTATCTATCCTAATGGAAAATACCCTTTCAGGGCTGTTTTACAGAATTTTACACTATCGCCATTCCCTTTGGCATTAAAATGTGCGTAAGAGTACCAAATTAAAAAAAAAACGGTTTACCAATATTCTTAAAAATAACCAAAATATATTATTTTTATTTAACTTTATGAAGGCTGTAATTTCTTCGGAAAGCATTTTAGGGCATATGTTCATAAGAACTTTTTGTTTTATTTTTATCTGTAGAACTGAAGTTAGATACACTATTTTTTTGACACCCTGTATAATATATACCTTAGTTCCAAGTCTATTACGATCACAATTTATCTCAGAGAATCACCCAGTAAAGATTAGGGTATTACTCCAAGAAAAACTTTAAGTTTTCTTATATGTGAAGTAAATCTGGAAATTCCATTATTATCTGACCATCATCGTTGAAAAATTTACCACCTACTCAAAACTTTTATCTTATTTCTCACGGAACTTTATGATTTTTACGGCCACAATATAACATTAAAGTTTGAACAGGCAGCAAGAAACACCGAATAGCTCTACGGCATCATTGAAAATATTTAAGATAGCTCTATTCAGTTTAATGTGCTTGGGTTCTATTCTCGCATCGCACAAACCTCTCTAGAGATTACCATTATATTTCGGAGTAATAACTATTATCTCGTAGGAAGCTACACAAGTTTGAATAGCTTTTGTGCGTGGATCATGTTCAGAACTGGTTCGGAACTGGGATTTGAACTGTACGGGATTACTTGTTCAATCGACAGAGTTTATAGACACTAAAATAAGCAATAAATAATTTAGGCTAGGGTGATTTTGAAAGATAAAACTCGGACTACATATTTTTTAACTGGTTAGAAGAGTAATATTTGGAACGGAATTATCAATACCTGTCATCATTGACATAAATTAAACATGTTGACTAAATAGTTATTAGACTGAAATCATAAATTTCAAATGTTTTAGTGTCAATAGTTCAACAGAAACTGTCTTAATATTTTTTCCCCATAATATGAGTAGCGGTATTTTTTTTTCGTGCTGAAAATAAGCAGCAAAGTATATTATCGATTGCAGCAACTATATCTATAGCCTGTAAAACGAATAACTTTGAATTTGACAGTTCCCGCGGGCTTTTCTAGTGTTAATTTTATTAGGTTAGCAACTTGCGGCCATGCTGACGCAATGCCGTCTCTAATAGAACAGCCTAGCAACGAGATTTATGACGTCACACTAGTTAGATACTACAAATTAATAACTATGTTGTAGAATACATGGAAAACATAATTATTCCTCGATTTGTTAGTTTGTATTTTAAAAATGATATAGTTTACATGAAATATATATAATATACAGTTAATAAATACAATATATATACCTATTTATATTAATAAATACTTTGGCAGATAAACTATGAACCATACAAATGCAGCAAATGTTTTACAATAGACTGAAATCGTACTCCATAGTCAATGTAGATAGTTTTTGTGTTAAGAATAATAATTTAAAAAAATATGTGGTCATCTTTTGACAAATTTATATTAGTTTATTAATTGCAGTAAATATTATAATATATAAATAAATTTTGTGAATGCAAATAATAATACATCACTATTAGTAGATATTGAATGTTTTTTGTTAAATTAGATTGATTTTCGAACCCCAAAATTTAAAATATATTTTACATTTTACCCATTATCTTATGTACCACCTATTCATTATTTTTATATTGTAAAACATTTGCTGCATTTGTATGGTTCATGTTTATTAGCCAAAGTATTTATTACAATAAATCGGTATATATTATATTGTATTTATTAACTGTATATTATGTATATTTCATGTAAACTATATCATTTTTAAAATACAAACCAAAAATACGAGGAATAATTATGTTTCCCATGTATTCTCCAACATATTTATTAATCCGTATTATCTAACTAGCGTGACGTCATAAATCTCGCCTCGTGGCTGTTCTAATAGAGACGGCATTGGTCTAATATTTAGAAATGTCAAAAGCTGATGACATTTTACTTTTGTCAATTATGACATTTCGTGTTGATTTTTGCAAGAAGAGGAAGAATTGTCACTTGTTTTATTATTTTCCTTTTCTATTTCACGAAAGTAAAAAGAGTTACCTATCTGATTCGTTCAGGCTAGTTCAGGCACTCAATTTAAAGAATATCAGTAACTTTTTTGATAGAGGGATTTTATATTTGCCATGTTGGTAAAAAATAACGGTCAAAATTCAAAGTTATTCATTTTATAGACTATAGTTTACATTCAGTATGTCCAATTAATATAGAACATTATACCTATGCATACTTTTAAAAATTTGCTACCTATATATTTTGATAGTTGAGTTTTTGAAATTATTTGTTAGCTTCTTAAACAAAGCAGATAATAATTCAAATCTTTATCATTCAAGACTTCCAAGAATTATGAAGTAATCTCACGTCAAAATTGTTTAAAATTATTGCATGCCTGAAGTATTTGCAAAGTTAACAAAAATATTTCTTTTCATACCTTGCAATTAATATATTTGATCCAATTTATCAGTTCTTCATCATATCCGAAATTTATATGTGACACAACGAAGAGTCAAAGTGCAACGAGAACGACCAGAAAAATATCAAGTAAAAAAAATGTTAAGTTTTAATTATTACTTACACAGTCCTTCCCTTGAGTTCTCTTGCCTAATATCTATATTGTCTTTCCTAACATTTTAAATATAAATGATTGAATCTCATACAAGTTTACCATAATTTAAACTTAAGATAGTCCCTAATTATATTAAAATATAACACTTACGAAATTAATAAATATTAACTATTTCTACTTATTTTTAATCATTTAATAATTCTGATAAAAATACGCTTGATTTTTTATTTCAGAAATCATACGGGCAATAATCATTAATATGACTATATTAACAATACTTAAATTAAAATTTATTTGAAGGAATGCTACTGTATTACAATAATTGTAAAACATTTATGTAATAATAACTCGTAATAATATAATTATTGTTTAAAACTGCTCATCGCGTTATCGATGTCGGCGTCTTGTCACTTTTATTTAGTCTAGTCACTATTATTTTATTAGCCGTTTAGGTATAGTTTGATTTCAGATAATGCAGATTTTAATGTGCCATTTGTGGTTTTTTTATTGGATTTTTTTTGCATATTTGGTATATTCTATGAAGTGATTTTAAGTGCTCCTGACCATTTTTCAATTATTAAAGTGCCTATTTAGATACAGTTAAAATGAATTAATTAGTGTATAGTATTTGTATTATGAGTTTGTTTATTTTTTATGAAATGTATTTTTTCCCATTAAAATAAACATAGCTTGCTAGTTCACTAGCTAGCCATTTTTAAATACAGGGTGTTAATTAAGTATCTGGCCAAACTTCAGGAGGTGATTCAAAGTGATGAAAAGTTCATATACACATGTGTGTCCGGAAATTTATAATTTTAAAGATACAGGGTGTCACCTTAGTCCTTTTTTATTAATATCTCAAAGATCCGTTGGCCGATTTTGTTGAAATTTCGCCATGTTGTGAACTTTGATAAGTTAGCACTAATTAAATGATAATTATTATTTACAACAATATTCAAAGGATAAAAACTTATCCCAATAAATATTTGGCAACGCCTTGGATTCATTTGTTTTTACGCCTGTTGACGGTGGAAACCATGCAAGCATTTTCTTTGTCCTAAGTTGTTAATTAAAAAAAAATAATAATCATAAAAAATGTAGGTCCTAATAGCCTAAATTTTAGCAAAATGTATCAGCAGATCCGAGTTATTATGTTTTGGAACTTAATGATTTAATTAATTATTCCCTTTAATGCATTTACCTATCCTACGCGCCAAGGAAACATATTGCATTAGTCTAAATTTATTATTTATGTGATTCCGCTCTTTCACGTATAATTTGCCCCTTGCTTCTCATACGGAAAGAGTTAGATTAAAATAGCCAAACTGTACCTAACAACCCATATGCCTTGACGCATATTCTTTTTTCTAATAATATGGGCTTTCTTTATACGCCGGCCCAGACAAACATCCATATCTATAAAATAGTTGGCCCACTGATAAATTAATAAGACCTCATTTCGGCCCTCAAACGTCCTTGCTCTATTCGATGATCAACGCCGGCTAAACTATCGACTTACGTGTTGACAAGTTGATTAGGCAGGTTATTCAACTCGTGTGGCATCGAACATATGTTTTTTTCGAGCGAACAATGGGAATAAAAATGAAATTTCTACACCCTGTTTTTCCGAAACTAAGCATTTTAGGACATACATTTATACGAACTTTTTTACTTATTTTTATCTGCAAAATATGCTGCCAAAGTTTCCGAAATACAGTTCGGACCACCCTGTATACAGGCATTAATTGAAATTTTTAATATGCGAACAACCACAAGAGGCGCTTTTTATCTACTTTCATTTCTTAACATGACAGATGAAGTTTTAAAGGGGGAAGTTTGGTGACTACGTTCAAAAATTAACTAATATTTATAAACAGTTCATACACTGATTTTTATTTAATTCATCTCGATAACTAATTTTTTTGTTGTAGATATTCGCTTTTGAAAAAGACCAAAATCTTGTAACAATATTCGCAACAAATTCTCATTAAACGGAAACTTGATATTTCAGCAACAAGTATATTATAACTTAATCCTTTTAAAGCCAAATATATGGCGGCCTCAAATAACTGATGAGGGTTGTTTTACTTGATACTACAGTTTGATATTAACTCCCTGAAATGCCAATGTTTAGGTAATCTCAGTGAATTAGAAGAAAGCCGATAAATTAATTTCAAACAGTTCG